GCTGCAACGCACGCTGACTGCGAGCGCGTGCGCGGCGCAAAACGTCGCGCGCCCTTATCGCGTCACGCGTGCGCCGCGCGCAGTCACGTCGCCTGGCGTCACGCGAAACGCGCCTCGCCGCGCCGCGCGGCGCATCCGGGAAGACCCCCGAGCGCGCCTGCGCGACAGCGACCCTGCAGCACGGCCCATCTATGCCTTTCGCACTCGTCGAAGATGTTTGTTTTTTTACTTTAAATTTAGATGGAGTAAATATTATTATTATTATTATTATTATTATTATTATTATTATTATTATTAGGGCCGCTGAACCACGTACACGATTTAACGTGGAATCTGGTCCAGCATCAGCCTTTTCAGCTGTATCCTTGGATTACGGCAAGATTGTTACGCCTTGAAGTGTGAATTATGAGTAGATAGGTTGATGAAGGTGAAGGGACATCATGGATTAGGAAGAAATGGGATATTTTTGTGTTGAAATAGGTGATCGTTGGACATTTGCGAAACATCTCAGCATTCGCCTTATGGACTGAGGAAACCACGAAAACCCCGGTCAGATTGTCCGCCCGCGGGAATCGAACCCGGAACTCCCGATTGCCGAAGTTTCAGCGCGCCTACGCCACTAAGCCACTACGCGCTGTGGCGGTGTGTATTATATTATATATATTATATATTATATTTATTATTATTATTATTATTATTTATTATTATTATTATATTATTATTATTATTATTATTATTTATTATTATTATCCTCCGTGGGACTTGTGTTGCAGCCCGAATTTTCTTTCGTGACGATTTCGACAAATAGTGCCGACTAAAGTTTTTGCTGAATCTGCGTAAAATTTAAGGAATTTTTTCGAATCTTTTCACGTAGGATTGTGAAACACTTCGATATAATTTAATTACAATGTTCATTCAGACCGCTAATTCGTTAATGCAGTAACTAAGCAAACCTAAGCAACACAACTACTGATGACACAATCTAAGGTACAAATAACTACTATTATAACATCTTCATATGATGACATACATTTAGTTAGTACTTTTCCGAATACTAAAATAATTATTTTTTTAGACGAGAGATTTTTTCCAATAAACATCCTATTTGTGAACATTTAAGCAAAAATAGTTAATTTAATTACAAGAGATTACTGCGAAACAAATATACATTATCGAACCGCCATAAAAATCGGAAGTCTTATTCTTAAAAGTGGAAGTTCCGTGAAACAATTCCAAGGCGTTTAGTGCAATGTCCATAACTCATCATGGAACATTGCCGGGGCGGAGGGAGAGGCTCCCCTGCAGCGGAGTCCATTACAGCATTTGAGGGGGCGCGTCATAAGGCTCGCGATTAACCTGCGCACCCAGACGAGCGCCGAGAGCGAGGGTAAGAGAGCGAGAGGTAAGAGAGAGCAGAGAGCGAGCAAGGGCAAGTGGCTGCTTCGCTCTCTCCCTCCGACGTTGACTTCAATGTCAGAAAACAGTCATGTTGCTGTCACAAGAAGTGCAATTTTTCCTGCACAGTCTAGTGTTTCATTTTACTACATAGATACTTGTACTATCTCTTTTGGAAGAGACAAATCCAAGCAGAGCAGAAGCGAGATTAATTGAAGAATAAGATGCACAAAGCCTAACATCAACACAAATTACGTTCAATTAGAACTTGACGAATCATTAATACCTTAAGAAAAAACATGAATCCCAAGGATGTAGGTACAAGTATGGGTAATGGGTTTTAGAAAGTAAGTGTTAAACATGAAAGGATCCCAAGACAGTAAACAGGAGAAGGGCACTTCATGTCGGCGTGGGGAAAGAAAAAAAGGTGAAATAAAGATGGAAGCAAAAGAAGAAATGTAACTCCCAGAGAATGAAGAATAGAAATTGACATGTGATTTCTAGCTGTAAAAACAAAACAGAAAAAGAAAAGATATTTTTAAAAAAAAAGTTATAATGAAATTTATTTTATAAAGAGAAGAAGAGCTGTCCATTCATCCCCACGGTCTCGCTAAAGACCTAGCGAATTCTCCTAGAGGCCACCTAGTCGTATCGCGCGTGTCTTCCTTCATCAACCCCCAGCGCCACCAACCGCCACCGCTGCCTCGTCGCCTCAGCTGCCGCCTCCGCACCTCGCAACGATCAGCGGCGCCGCCGCCCCCGCCGCCGCCCGCGCCGCCTCCACCGCCCGCGCAGCGCCGACACCCGAGGGCGGCCCCGCGGGCGCCACTAGCGGCAGCCTGTGACGTAATAAATTACCTGCCGAACTGAGCCGGGCCCTGTTAATGGGCCCAGTGGCACAGCTCATCGAGAATTCCGCGCACCCGGCGCCAACTTTCCCATTACGAGGGACCCGGCCGGCGGCGGCGGCGCGGGCGGCGCGGGCGGCGGCGCGGGGGTGGCGATGGAGTTTGACCGCGTCCTCGGAGAACGGCCCGGGAAGCGATGTGGCGATTTCGGCGAAAGGTAGTTGAGGGGAGAGCAGGTGGAAATCGGCAGCGATCGAGATCTTGTGGATTCGCCAGAAGAAGAAGAAATAGTACTAGTGGGAAGAGACAGTGAAAGTTGTGGTGTTGGATTATTAAAAAGATCGTAGTAGAATTTGTAAATCTAGAGGCCTCTCTGGTCGAAATAATATATTGCAGATAGAGTGCCGGGAAATGTTTTCAAAGAAAATGCAAAGAATAATGGCAACTGCGAGATAGGTGATGGTTCTCAAATTTTGTCAGGAAAAACCTATGAAAGGTAATGGAGATAGTGGAAATAGAAGAATAGCAGAACATTCATAAAAAGCAAAAACAAAAAGGGAAGAGAAAGGAAGAAATGAGAGGTTAAAGGAAGAAAGGAGAGAATGGAGGGAGGAAGGAAGGAAGGAGAGAATGGAGGAAGGAAGGAAGGAAGGAGAGAATGGAGGGAGGAAGGAAGGAGAGAATGGAGGAAGGAAGGAAGGTACGAAGACGGGAGTCGCGAGAAATCTAAAGTGAAAACGGGCTGAAAATATAACCGAATGCCAGTTCGAAACAAAAATTCTCAATCCGAGAAAAAATAAAACTCCCGCCAGAGAAACAACAGAAGCCCCCCACTTCGAAGATTCGGGGGCCGTGGTAAGGCGAAGTGGGTCAGCGGAGGCGCCGCGGGGTGGGCGGAGTGGGCGGAGGGAGCCAAGTTGGGCGGCTTCGCCCGGCTGCGTCAAACGACGCCCGGGGGCTAATGAGAGCGCGGCCCGCCGCGGGCGGCGGGCGGCGGGCCGGGCGATCGACAGCGCTGGTGACGGAGGGGACGGCGATGGAGAGGGCGTGGGCGGGAATTGTGACGGTGGAGAGGACGACGCGGTGATGGCCATAAGGTGACAGATGTAACGACGGTAATTTTCGGAGGCGTGCTAGCGGTGATGATGAGGTAACTACAAGCACGGGGGTGACATAACTAAGATGGTGAGGTGCGATAACTGCAATGTTGCTTGTGAGATAACTACGATGATGAGGATGGTGTGGATAAGATAACGACGGTGATGGCGGTGCTTTCATCACGGTGACGATGAGTCGATGGTGATAATGATGATGGTGTGGTGGTGATGAGGGGGTGCTGGTGAAGGGACAACGTTGAGAAGGTGTGGGGTTGATGTTCATGGTGATGAAGGAACGTCGTTGATGATAGTGAGGGTGACTGTAATGGTAATGAAAGTTCGATAATGATGGTGATGCACAAAAATATTTTCATCCCATGATGGTTACAGAATTGGGCTCATAAAGTGTTAATGATATACGACGTATTTTAATTTCTTAGATAATGACACTGCAGTTTTAGTGTCGAAAACGATATAAACCAATTTCTACTTCCATTTTTATAGTTACAGCCAACATCCACATACCTTCATACTTAGAGTATGTTGCACTAGTATTAGAGTAATTCATAGTACCACACTATGCCGAATATGAGCTTTGACCATTCGGTCGGTGGTAATTGCAAACACGGGGATGATATGAGACAGGTGATGACACAACACAGAGCGGACGAGAGTACCCGCAGCAGAAGCACCGAATACCACTGTGAGGCAACTGGAGGGTTGTGGGGCAGACCTCCAGAAATTCCCAACACCAGCACGGGGCGAAGATCGGGTGGCCCAGTTGGCTCCGAATCGACGCGGTGGCCCCTCGGTACTTGGAAACCCTAGCGCGGGAACTGCTCGTGGAATGGCGCACCTCTTAATGAAGCAGCAAATCCCCCTTTTAATAAAAATTTTGAAAGCTGTGTGCCAGGTGGGGAATTGGAAGCGAATTGTTTGAGTAGGGTGCACGTTTCGTTGGGTTTCTTTGCACACGACGTGAGCTTTGTAGATAAACAAGTTACAAAGCAGTTTCAGCAATGTTTGATAGTTTTTACGCGACAAATGTAAATGTACTATAAAGAGACGACGAGCGTTTAACATAGCGCATTTTCCTTGTATTTCTGAAAGTAACTTGAATTAATTCACTGGGATTATAATTTTACGATCACTGATTTTTGCAATTAACTACTGAATCAAAATATTGCATTTTTACTGGAGTGAGACTACTTCATCTAATTTTCCAAGAATGTTAATTATTTTGTTCTCACAGAGATAACATTTTCTTAAATAGCATCGTGTCTCATCTTATTGTAAATATTTCGCAATATTGACGCAAAATTGATTCAAGTTAAATGTTATGCACGCCAATCATTTCTTATTTTCTCTGAAAAAACGACAACAAACGATTGTGTATCTTCCCGATGATAAACGTTTTGAACAGTTTAGAAACAACGAAAAAAATTTCACCTCGGAAATGCGCAACTGCCTCGATTTTTAGCTGCATTGCACCCTGATATTCCCTAAGGGTAGCACGCTGTAACATTGTTCATCCCCAACCACTCCCCCCCTCCACCACTCGTCAATCGAGGGTAGCTTACGAAACAAACGAGCTCACGTTGCACCATGAATTTTCATTACGATACGACTGCAACTACGGTGAACCAACCGCGAGATGAATAAACCTAAAATTAATTGGTGGCTTTATGGTGGTGACGGCTCGCGCGAAGCAAATTTAATGAGGTTTATCGTGTTGATTCAAACACCCAGGCTCAGACCTGGGTGGCATCCCTGTTCATGCAATAGATTTAAGATCCACGTCCCGGATGGAAGATATAAATTTCTCGTTTCAAAACCCTACCGATGAACTAGATCTTGCAAAACGCGCATGCGGATAAAAACGACACGCGGCCGGTATTTATAATCCAATTTTTAATAAATCGTTAAACAAGCATTCATTTTTTTGCCACATGCGCTGTAATTGGTAAGCTTTTGCTTAAGTATTGTGATGTGATATTAACCGTTTTACTGAAAAAATAATTGGAAATTTTAAATTGTAATCCGCAGCTGTAATTTCCAGGAATAATATTCAATTATCTTACGAATCTCATTTTAAAAGCCACTTCTATTAATTTTTTTATACCGTAAATAAAATTTTCCCAGCTCGCATTTTAAAATCTTGATTGACATTTCAAGAATTAACTTATTAATGTCATTCATGATATTGATCCCTCGCATTACATCTAGAAAATAGAATCCACGGCTTGATGGGTATTGAGCTACGTGGAACAGTTGTGACATAAAAATGTCCATGTCGGTTGCAGTGAAGAGGAAATCTTTGCAGTCCATCTTATAAGCTCTGAACTGGTGTTAAGTTGTAATGACATAATCTGGCAATCATTCTATAATTTATAAACGAATTACTTCTACAAAGCTAACGTCTCTTGTAGATTAGATATGATAATGGGAAAGGTGAAAGTGTTTAAAATCTGTTTTAAAAATTGAGGTAAAATGAGTGATGGCTTTATGTACGTTGTATGAACCAAACTTTTCGCAATTTCCATAATTGGCATTAGTGAAATCTCAAAATCCCAACTTTTTCTGAAGTATGATAATGCACATTTATCATTCGGAAGAAGCGTCGCAAGAGTTTTTCTCAACTGCTCTGCTCGAGCCGTAATTCTGGGTCCCGCTAATCTCCGGCTCCTCGGTTAACGCGTCAAGATCTCACAGGCAGAAAGACGTGTAAGAAAGTGTTCGCTACGCCTTTGTCATGCTCCTGAAGACAATTGCGTTTGTTGTCACGTCGTGACTTCTGGTGTCATTTCTTTTTGCTCTAAGGAATAAACAGCTGTTCAAAGAAAGGGAAAAGATGTCTAAACTGACAAATAGTCTGCGCTCAGCTACGCTTTTTTTTGTAATTACATTCACTTTAAGGAATAAAATTCAAGCCATCATACGCTCTTTCGCGTAATCAGTCAAGTCTAAAGTGACTGGAGATGCTTTATTTTTACCGATTCTTGCCACTTTGTAATTTTTAAAATGTAAATAATATAATTGTATCACTCAAGTCTGTATCTCTAAAGTTAAGTCTACTTATTTAAATGAATCCAGGCTCTCCTTCGTAGAACATTTTATTTGTAACGTTGTGGAAATAATAAAGCGTCAAAAAGTAGGTTATGCTTGTTATAAAGTAAAATGTAATAATGCTGCATTACTAGCCCTTCCACTACACAGATGTGCGAGTAAGACAAAATCCACCAATATTTGGCAGGCGAGAGGAGATATAACCATCCGATTTAGTTACATCTCTCTCTTTCTTTCTCTTCCCTCTCTCAATTTCACGGTTTCTATTTCAGTCTTGCGTTCTCTCTCTCCCCCTCTCTCACTCTCTCACTCTCTCCCTTCCTTTCTCTTTCTTCTTCATTCTTTCTTTCTCTCTTCCTTTTTCTTTCACTTTTTCTCAGTAAGCATTTTAGGAAAGAGCTAGTAATGACGGGCAGGGCTGTGCTGCGCGGAAGCTAGGAGGATTGACTAGGACCTGCTATTATTATGCTTGAGTGCGTAATACATATTGAATAGAGCGACCTTCCAGTGATAACGTTCAGAGATATATCACATAAAGCACATTGATAAGGTAACAATGTAAACGGAGGAAAATAAAATGAAACTGAAAACTTATAATAACCCATGTCGACATATTCTCATGGGTAGACAGGAGCCAGAAGCCATGTTTCATCTATGGTGAATGAGTTGGAAATATTTCAACTCATTCACCATAGATGAAACATACGCTTGCGACTAGCTTAAGCATTTCGAAAATGAACATGTAAGTTCGGCAGTACGTACAAGCAAAACTTTTGACAGGCCCTCTCATATGAAGCCGTCAAGCGTTTTAATTGCAGCTCGCGCGATCTTTCCACGAAAGAGATAATGGTGGCCCACGCCGAAGAGAGAGTTCGGGTGGTTGGCTGAGCCTTGTGTCGATAATGACGACGTTCGGTGTGGCCGTGTTGGAGGAAGGAGGTGGAGGAGGAGACGGAAAAAGAGGAGACGGACAAGAAGGCGGCGGCGGAGGAGGAGGATAAGGCGGAGGCGGAAAAGGAGGAGGAGGGGGAGGAGGCAATGGCGAAGGTGGAGACCGAGGAGGAGGCGGTGGCGGAGACCGTGGCGACGGCGGAGGCCGAGGGGGCGGTGGCGGAGGCGGAGAAGGCGGTGGAGAGAGAGGTGGCGGAGGAGACGTTGGCGAAGGCGGAGGCGGTGGGGTAGGCAGAGGCGGAGGCCGAGGAGGAGGCGTTGGCGAAGAAGCCATTCCAGCGGCGCCGCGCCGCGAGAAGCAGCGACTCATTATGCGCGAGTAAATAGCACTTAATTGCTGTCTAACGCTTCGGCGGGCCAGGAAGTGATTTACACGCAAAGAGATGCCTCATTAACCGACACGCCGGCGGTGGTTGGCGACACTGGCGCGGAGCCCCGGCCGCGGCACCGCTATGCTCTGACGCCGATGCCGCCGCCGCCGCCTCGCACGTCGACGCGCCAACAGCTGCGGCCCGCGGTGCCGCTGACGCCAGAAGGATCGCCGACGCTGTTGTAGCCAGCGGCTGGGGGGGAAAGGCCCAACTAGTGGCCGGAGCTGGTTAAGAATGTTTCTAGCTTTCTTGGAATTATTGGGCTACGCTACTTAAATCGCTATGTGAAACTCTCGGGTCATTACCACACTCTATGAATAGATTTCTGACGTAAAAATTGTTACTTTTTGAATTTTTTCTGTTCAATTAATTTATTTTCGTAACTCAATTTTGACCTGTAAATTCCACTTCAAAATTGCATTTAGGTAATTAACAAATGTAAATTCAAATTAACCTCCCCTCGTAGCACGTCATACAGTTTTTAACTGTTTTTGACGTAAATAAATAAATAAAAGTAATTAGTAAATGCTTGACTCAGTAAGTGGCGGCATGGTAGTTTGCCCCCTGATTGTGTTTGAGTCTTATAAGTCAAAAAGTACCAGTCCATGT